ATATACATCCTCGTCTAGCGAGTACAGTTGTATATAATAATGATGAAAACGGTGCCTCATATATATGTATATATATATATATATATATACACACACACACATCAATACGTCTACAGGATTGCTATACTTTCAATGAAAGTTGTCACAAACGCGAGTTCCGACGCGACTTCTTCGTGAATCGTGATACTATCGTCATATGTCCGCGGCGGTTTCATGTATCGAGAAATACTGAGTGTTTTAAGAAACGCGTCGTGACTCGACGCGCCGTCAGAGCGAATCGCACACAATACATCAACGAACATTTGAGGAGGAAGAAATGCTGAGTAATTTACACGCGATTTAATTTCTCATTAATAATTAAAATAATTTCCTTTAGTACAAATCAACAGATTTCTTTTCTACCGGAAAATCTGTTGGAATTCGTTTGTTCTTTTCTTCCTCCCTAAATCGTTTTTCATGTATAGTCAGTTTTATGAAAATATTCTCAAGAGTTGCGAAACTTCCCAGTTATTTCACGATCACATTTATTATCCTGTTACTTCTTTATTGGAAGGTCTTAATTCCAGTGCGCGTAAAAATATCTTCTTCAGTCCTTGTGAAGATTGTCTACACACGCGAAATTCGGAACGAAGAGACTCTTTTAATCTTTATTTTTAATGTAGTCTCACTTTTTAAGGCATGTATTGGTTAAAGGCAGAATTGTTCACCGCAATTATACGTTACACACTGATATCGTGCTACTCACCGCGACAGTCGGTTTTCCTCTTCTATAGGCGCTTCGTCGGCCTTTAAAACATAACTCAGTGCGCGCGGAATTATTCATGAACGAAGGAAAAAAAATATCACCGTCCAAGACTGAGGGATGTTTGATATAAATTTTCTAGGACGTTCCTCGCGCTCGGATTTAAAATCGACGTTAATTCATCGATTATTCAACATTGCATTAGCGTAACGTCACACTTTCTGCCTGAGTGTATGGTTTCGATCGTACAACCGCGAACATAAGCTTTCTTCGCGAGCAAGAAGCAAGACGGATTCGAACGCAGCTTTTTTGCGGTTGCACTTGTAATAAGAAGAAGCCTCGCGAGCAATGTCGAAAACAAGGAAAGTCTTATCTTATAAATACGATTCGTCTTATATATATTGTACCAAATATGAAATGGCGCGATGGTCACTGACGTATCGGCGATCGAGCGCGGAAACATAGCGTTTTCTAATCTTAAATATTTCAATGTAACATATTATTATCTACGTCTGTCTACGGCATTACTGTATTTGGCGCCTGTTTAACGTATTAACCGTATTTAAAAAGAATAACGCGTTCTACAAGAGAGATTCTCCCTCGTATAACGTAAATTTTCGCTTGAGGAAAGAGGAGAAGGAAACAGGATGACGGACTCGAAATTCCGCTACGTGATATATCGACACGAATAATTCTTCGAAATTGTTAGAGGTAACGATTCCTTCGACAATGTCGTGCTGTAAAAAATTCAATATGAGAATTATTAATGCTGCCTTGTAACGTGCGCGCTTCTGATTCATTTGTTTTTTAACAAGGATCGAGACGTTCTTTTCGACAGAGTTGTCGCTTTTCAGTAAGATACACCTTACATGTGTAAAATGCGTATGATCGACACGGCAGTGAAGCGACATTTACTGTAATTTAAGCGCATGATATATAAACCGTATACTTTTCTATCATCACCTCCGAGTAGTAATATGACCAGAGAATGTACGTGTAATTATTAAGACTCGCGCGCGAAAATAGTTGGGTCAGTATGTAACGATATATATTCCGAGAGCGATCAGTTAGAGTAACCTCGATCGGGACAGAGTGCTGACTCATTTTTTTGTGATAATATTAGGGCACAAAGTAATTAATATTCCTGTAACCGCGCTTCTCGTCCGCTGCAAGGGAATCTTTGAAGCCGGTTAATCGTATTATTTCTCGCAAACGCGGTTGTTTGTTTTCGCCGAGGATGTTAATTAACGAGGAACTCTTGTAGTACATTTACATATAATATTGTATAATTCACGTTATATTAAATTTATTTGGAATTCTGGAAATGTTTTGTGCCGCATTACTTGCAAGGGAACTACCGAAGAGCTGATTAATATCCTCGGTATATATATACACGCAACATAAAATATATTTTTTCCAATTTTTTTCTCTCTCTATGAAGTTTCTTCGAATTACATGTCTGTCCATTAAAACATTTTCTGTCGAGGATGGAGCTCGACTTATATATAAGTTCCTTTTGTCTCTTTGTCTTCTTTCTTAATTTATCGGGGCTATGCAACCACATGTGTTGTATACATGTGTGTGTGTGTGTGTGGGGGGGGGGGTGTGTTCGCTGCTCGACATGCATAAAGTATAATGTGTATTCTGTGCCTTATATATATTGTCTCTGTCTCCTCGCGTGCGTGCGTGCGTACATGTGCCAAAATGCGCGTGTACATTTACAGAAAGCTATGAGTGAACAAACAAAAAGAGACAAGCTGAAAGCTGACTCAATTATACATAATTACGACGGACATGTAGGGGATTGACTTATAATTGTAGTAAGATTTTTATATCTATTCCGAAAATAAAGAGAGAGAAAGTGTGCGTGTATGTGTGTGTGTTGTAACGAGAGGGTGCAATTGTCGCGCAAGCAGAACGCCGCGATTTGCTGGCGCTCGTACTTTCCTTTTTCCTCCTCTTATATGGAGAAAAAAAATAAATACACACTATAACGTTACGCTGACGTGATAGCGTAACACAAATGTGTCTCTGAGTTTGTCTTTCTTGACTGAGCATTTTCATGCAACAAGTACGAGACTGTGAAAGAGCTACCAGAAGTCGACACCGAAGAGGTCGTTCTTTTCTAAGAGTAGAATAAAGAGAAAAAAAGAATCATTACGCGATACTTGTAATTAATGTAAATACGTGTGATCATACTTAAGGGATATATCTTATCGGCTATTTCATTCGACGAGATAATACGTATCCATAATATATATATATA